TATATATACATATATATATACATATATATATATATATATGCATAATAATTTCATATATTATTTTGACTGTTTATGCAATTTATGTTGCACGTGTAATCCTTCAGTAGCAGTGAATGGATGTTATAATTTCCATTGCTCTTAAATATTTTTTTCAAATTTTATTATCGCTATATTTCAATATCATCTTCAGTGTCTCGTAAATTCATCTCAACAACAATAGTTGGGGGAACAGTATACCATTCTACATTGGAATAAGTAGACTTTCAAGGCGCCGTAGCTTTATGTCAAACATATTACGGCGCAAATCTACCAGTTATTAGGACATTAGAAGACAACGAACGTCTTACCGCCTTGCAAGATCTCAAGTTTTGGTTAGCTTTGAATGATAGAGAACACGAGGGAACATTTGTATGGACCACAAACAATGGAAGCTACCTATTTAATACCGAATCTTTTGATGGTAAGATAAAAATATGTTTATATATTTACAAATTTATGGTTTGATAGAATTATTTAATAAGTCGATCAGCCCATGTTTGTTAGTCGTTGTTTGTTTTCATCAGACACTGTCTTTCGGGCTGTTTATTCATTCATTAAGTTACATATTCATTTTATACTGTCATTCATTTTCATTTATTTACTACCTTGTTCGCTTTTTAAACATTATTTTATTTCGGTGTTTCGATTGTTCATTATTATATTACTTACATTTAACACAAATATTTTAAAATTCGGAAAAATAACAACTGTATATAATAGGGAGGCTTCGCACACGAAGGCATACAGTTAGTGTGACGGATACGTCATCATCTTGACGTCATACTCCGGTTGCTATCCTCTAAACGTGTGGGGACGACAAGCATATTTCGCTCACTACACGTACAGTACCTAAGTGAAAAATGCGAAATTTTGGATTTCTATAGGATCCTCGTATTTTATCACATTTTACGTAAGTGTAAAAAATAAATGTATCTATGAATACGTACGCACCATTTTTGTGACATTTGAAGACAGCAAATTACGATAGGATAAGTCTCATTTTGGTGTACCAAAACGTCGGTGCTTTGACCTTGGTGGGTGTCTAGATTTCGTGTAGGCCTGCCTAGCTTGTAGCCAGGCATTTATGTGTCATTATCAATAGAGAGCAATCACAAAATAACCAACTCTCCCTTGCAAAAAAGTATTTTTCGGCTACAATTTTCAATTCAATTTCCAAAACCTTAATAGTAATAAAACTTTGAGAAGCATGATGAGAGAAGAGAACAGAGTAGAGGTCTCTAAGGCCGTAGGCCTACTCTTGAATTGCGCTGTGATTGCGAAAAACACAGAATGGCTACCGTATGGGCAGCTAAACGTATGCGTAAATGAATAAAGAAATTGTGTAATAAAATGCCTCCGGTGGGACTCGAACCTGCGACCTCTCGCTGTCAAGGCGAGCGTCATAACCATTAGACCATTTATTCATTTATTTACAGGACTACATTCGTTGAGAGCTATGCTACACGATGTATTATTATGTCCTTTATTCGAACATTGTATTTACCTTTCTTTGATGATTTATATAT